TAGCAGAAGCGGCTCGTATGTCATTCCTGACACGGTGCTGCTTCGCGTATCATAATGCCTTGACTCAACGTTAGGCGATCGGCGACTAGCAGCCATCGGCGAGTAGTTGGGTGTACGACTATATCGGAACGACGCTTAAACGAAACGGACGCGACATACGCTTCAACTAGAGCGGTGGAAACCTTATCAGGAAACACCCGTCACGGACCATGTTGCTGAGCTGAAAACGATTGGTTGATAATCAGTTTATCAGTTTATCAGAAACTTAACGTGGAAGTGTTCGCGGAAACTGAAACGGTGGAATTAACTTAGCGGTTACGAATAATAACTACCGTGGTTATAAGCTAAGAGGCGAGCAGTTAACATGATCAGCCTAACAGAAGCTATATGCTGGCACGGCTCTACTACCAGTTCTCCCCCTGAAAAATGCATATATACTGATAAGCTATCATAAATCTTCTTAAGAGTATGACCTAATCGTAGCAACCTACATGTCTGAGAGATTTCGACAGCAGCCATGGCGAGATGAGGAAGCCATGGAAACAAGCACGAGCTAACGCTGACTGGAGAGAATCAGTGACATGAATGAAGGAACTGGAGAATCCGGCAGAGGTGGAATGGCCTTGGGGATATCGCCGGGTTGACTCGGTCTCTGGGAGGCTGCATGCACTTGCTGGAGGGAGGCGACGACAGGCGAGAGGGAGTCGCCAAAACAGAGGCTTCCGCTGGTCTCCGCCCGCCGCACAGGTCGTCGCAAAGCTTTCGCGAACGAATGACAAAAGCGTAACTGAGGTTATCTGGGTCAGACGACTTTCGCCACCGGGATGGGAGTCCAAAGTTGCCGCTAAACTGCGCTGGGCCCGACGAAGCGCGGCTTTTTGAAATTCCAGGCGGGAGACTTCTGCAGCAGGTGTGCCAGAAAAGGTTCCGCCGCAATGCGGAATGTTGGATCATCTCCGCAAGGGATCATCTCCGCAAGTTATCCATCTACAGAACTGTATCATCACGCACAGCCATCTACAGTGTAGACTCCTTTCAGCAAAATAAATGAATCCTTTTTCAAGTGGGACTGTAACAAGATTGTAACATCATATCTGCGTTTGCAGCAAGAGTGTTCCATCTTATCTGCGATTGCAGCAAAAGAGTAGCATCTCAAGGGCGCAAGATGCGCCCTACCTTGATGACCACTCTCATCATTTGTTGGATTGAATATTCATGAGCACCACATTTCACAGCCACCTATCCGGCCAGGCACAACCAGGCCAAACATTCGTGTAGCAGTTGACATATTTGTCAACCGCTGTATCACCCTGCACCCTCCACCGTGCACCCTGCACCCTGTCCCTGCACCCTGCACCCTGCACCCTGTCCCCTGCACCACAATCACCACCAACGCAGGAACTGCTTTCTTGAGTGCCCCTGGCAGCACATGAGGAGCGTGCACAATCTCCACCTCAACGCACCCCTCACATCCGGCAGATGGGAACTCGTATCCGCGGTCACAGCCAGGGCCAGCAGGGCAGGGAGCAGAGCAGCGAGGAGAGCGAGTGCAGGTGGCGCGAGCGGTATGCGCGGTACAGCATGAGCGGCGTGCGCGGGGGCAGCGGGGGTGGCGCGCGCTGCCAGCGCTGCGAGGTGGGATCGCGTGTGAAGACCCGGGGGGCGCCGCTGGGGAAGAGCGTGTCTGTTTCCGGTGACTGGGCTAGCAGACGGTAGCAGCTGAATGGGAAGGCGGGGGGGAGAGGGGGAGAGGAGCAGAAGGGGAGGTTGAGAAGAAGTAAAGGGGCAGGGGGGGCGGTGCGCGCTGCCAGCGCTGAAGACGCGGGGGCGCCGCTGGGGAAGAGCGTGTCGCTGTCTGGCGACTGGGCTAGCAGCCGGTAGCAGCTGCAGGGGAGGGGAGGGGGAAGAGGCAGAAGGGGGAGGGGGGAAGAAAAGGGGTAGCAGGAGGGGCGTGGGGAGGGTGAGAAGCAGCGGGAGGGGGGTGGGAGTGGGTGAAGGAAAGGCACAGAGCAGAGATGATTACTCGCTGCAATGACATGCCCTAGTGTGTGCGCGGCATGCGCATCAATATGCCATGGCATCATGCCATGTGAGCGACGTGGAAGTGCAGGATGAAGGGAGTCAGTGGCGACGTGGAGTCAGCATGCAGTGACATGCCCTAGAGAGCAAGGCCAAATGTGTGTGACATGGCCAAATGTGGGGATGGGAATGGGTGATGCGAAGGAGGTGAAAAAATGGCATGGCAGATATGTTTACTCGCTGCAATGACATGCGCTAGTGTGTGCATGGCATGCGCATCGCCATGCCATAGCACGTGTGCAACAGCGAGCCTTCAGGTGGGGAGAGAGGGAGGGATCACCAAAAGATGAAGGGCAGGAAGTCGGGTCCCTCAGCCAGGGGCGATGTGGAGTTGGCGTGCAGCAGCTCGCTGCAGTGACATGCCCTAGTGCGCGCCATGCCATGTGTGCGTGAACTCTAGTGCGCGTCAGGCCACGTGTGCGTAGCATGCCCGAAAGCGAGCCAGGCCATGTGTGACAGCATGCAAGGCACGTGTGTGCAGCAACAAGCCCTCACGTGGAGGAAAAGCAGCCACGAGCCCTCACCTGCGGATGAAGGGCAGGAAGTCGGGGCCCTCGGCCAGTGGCGATGTGGAGTTGGCATGCAGCAGCTCGTGATCTGTCATGCTCAGGCGCTGCCGCGCTAATGCTGCTGCGTCCATCAGCCTGATGGGGAAAGGGAGGGGGGAAAGGTGCGGGGGAGTGACACGAGACACGGAGTTGATGTGTGAAGACTGAAGGGCAGAGAGATGCTTCATGCGGCAGACAAGGCACTCCAGGGAGGCATGAACAGAAGGCAGAGAGAGGAAGGCAGACAAGGCACTCCAGGGAACAAACCAAGCAGTAAGGCATGGAGGAGCACGCGGAGAGGAAAGGTCACCATGTTCCTACTTGGTGAGTGGGGATCGGCATTGTTTGTCTCATTCTACCTGGTGGGCGGCAGCACGAATCGGTCCATCTGAGTGTCGTAGAAGCGGGTGAGGCGCCCCTGGGGACAGAGCGGGCCGCACAGAGCGGTGCAGAGCGGTGCCAGCGCGGCAGGAGGGAGGGTGGAGAGCAGAGAAGGGGAGGATGCGAGCAGGGGCAGGGAGGGAGACGGCGAGGAGGAGAGGAGAGGGGAGAATGAGGAGGAGGAGAGGAGGGAGAGGGAGGAGGAGGAGGAGAGAGAGGAGGGAATGAGAGGGGAGGAGGAGGGAGTGCTGTGAGCGCGTGTGCTGCCCGCGCCAGTGCTGCCGGGAGTACCACCACTAGCCGGACTGCCATCAGTGCGTGCAGCAGCATCAGCAGGTCGACCTTTCTCAGGCGTGCAAGGATTTCCCTCATCACACAGACCTCCCGCCTCTCCCCCTCTCGCTTCTCCCCCTCGCGCCTCTCCCCCACCAGCCGTTCCTCCTCCCCCATCCCCCCTCCCCACCACCCACCCATCCCCCCTGCAGAGTCAAAAGCAAGTCCCCTCTGCTTCAATTGCCCCTCTGCTCTAGCTGCATGCTCCGACCTGCCAACGACCCAAGGAGAAAAGACGGATTCCAATGTAAATGAATATGCAGCGCGGTGCAGCGCGGTGAAGCACATGTATTGGGTGCAGCGCGGTGTAGTGCGGTGAAGCGTGAGGTGGCCATGTGCGTTGCAAGGTGCAAGCGACAGGAGCGAATGCGGTTACATGCGGTTACACATGCGTTGGGCTGCATCAGAGGGGAGGTGACGTGGCAGGGCGTCAGAGGGGAGGTGACGTGGCTGAGCGACGGCGTGCACGGCCCGGAGGACGGCCCAGAGGGGAGGTGACGTGGTGGGGAGCGCGCCGCATGGGCGTCAACTGTCTGAACGTGAGCAAGGGAGTGGGGGGGTGAGAATAATCCGAGCCCGTCGCACTGCGCCCATGCGCGCCGCACTGCGCTCATGCGCGTCGTACTGCGCCTTGAACTGTTCTTCTATCGACAGCCGACCCAACGCTATTGCGGTGACGACGCGAAGAGGTAACCAGCGGTGGCGAAATTTAACCGCCACGATTCGAAGGAGAGCGACCATTATGCGGTGAAGCTTTTGATCTGATGCCTGTGATCACGGCCAGAAACTATCCCAAAAGCAAGGAGAAACGAGATGACGGCGGGTTCATGTGATGAGTTGACGATCAGCAATGAGGTAACGCAATGTGAGCGGGAGCATCGTGAGCGAGCATCGTGAGTGGGAGCATCGTGAGCGAGCATCGTGAGTGGGAGCATCGTGAGCGAGCATCGTGAGTGGGAGCATCGTGAGCGAGCATCGTGAGTGGAAGCATCGTGAGCGAGCATCGTGAGTGGGAGCATCGTGAGCGAGCATCGTGAGTGGGAGCATTGTGAGCGAGCATCGTGAGTGGAAGCATCGTGAGCAAGAATCGTGAGTAGGAGCATCGTGAGTGAAAGCATCGTGAGTGGGAGCATCGTGAGCGGGGGCAATAAGGTAACGCAATGTGGTAGTGTGCTGTACTGTATGCTGTGCTGTGTGCTGTCTTGATTCTCTGTCTGTTTGGCAAAGCATTCAGCGAAAATAGTCGCCTTCGCCAGAATTCGTCGCAAGGGAAAATTGCTGGGTGTTACGAATATTTGCACATCGCATCACAAGTGTTACCACCTCGGAGGGACCACACCCCAGCCCACTGCCACAGATTTCTCAATCATTTCGTTCCTTTTCTCCAACCCGCCTTCTCCTTTCTCCGCATCTAGCGCCGCTCGCCGCACTACGCAAGCAAGACATCCCTTCCGCCTTGCCGTGTCGCCCACCACACCTCCTGTGTTCGCGTAGTTTCGCAAATTCGTGTCTTACGTTCCGTCGTTGGAATCGATAGCATTCGCCAGCAATGGCGGCAGCGGTTGCAGATCTGACGGTGACGGCGGAGAATGTGGGTGCGTCGGGCGAGTCGAAGGTGCTTCAGGCCATTCGGTATTCCCGAGGGAAGCTCGAGCTGCTGGATCAGGCGAGTCGTGCTGGCGACTCGTGTTGTCAGCTTTCAGTTGATTCTCGGTAAAAACATTATGCGCACGAAACTGTCGCACCCTTCTTGTAAAGGGTGCGTCTTACGTAAAGGTTAAGAATCACTACGGCTTTGATGTAATGAAGGCGCGCGTTCGTATACAGCATCGTCACACCGTCGGGTAACCAGACTAAGGCGCTGCTTCTTTTTATCCCTTCCCATTCCACGCCCCGCCCCGCGTGTTGCCTCCATTCCAGCGGAAGCTTCCTCACGAGTCTATCTACCTCAGCATCCCAACCATCGAAGCTGCCTGGTGGGTATCATGCCATCATGCCATCCTACACTGTGTATAAAACCCCACTCATCACGACATGCCGGAAATGCGACCAAGGCCGTGGTATCGTCTATGCCCCCTCCTGTGAATCACACCGCTTTCACCCCATTCCACCCCACCCCATCTCACTCCATCTTCCTAATCTCCTGAACACCCGTGCACCGCACTCCACCGCGCGGCCCCCATCACAACCCTCAGGCACGCCACGTGGTGGTGCGGGGGGTGCCGGCGATCGCGATCGCAGCAGCACAGCGTGTTCGATTCCGCGGGTGCCGCTGTGAAGCACATCACTGAACGCCTCGACCACCTCGCGTCCAGTCCAGGTGGGTGCTTCTACTCTCCATCATGGATCACACAAAATTTCGAGCACTTGCGCACCTGCTCTCACCCACCACAGTCACACCAGCCAACCACCGCCTGGGCTGCTCTCACGCACTCCGCTCACTCTCCATCTTCCTCTATCCCCCACACCATCCAGTCGCCCCACGGCAGTGAACCTATCAGACGAGGCAGAGAAGCTCAAGAGGGTGGCGGAGGAGGCAGCCAAGCCAAGGAGGAACCCACGCCCGAGGCGGATGTGCTGGTGGTAATGGTAACGGTGCAGTGGTGGTAATGGTAACGGTGCAGTGGTGGTAATGGTAATCGTGCAGTGGTGGTAATGGTAACGGTGCAGTGGTGGTAATGGTAACGGTGCAGTGGTGGTAATGGTAACGGTGCAGTGGTGGTAATGGTAACGGTGCAGTGGTGGTAATGGTAACGGTGCAGTGGTGGTAATGGTAACGGTGCAGTGGTGGTAATGGTAACGGTGCAGTGGTGGTAATGGTAACGGTGCAGTGGTGGTCATGGTAACGGAGCATGTCAGTGAGCTCCAGTCAGGGAGCTCCAGTCAGGGAGCTCCAGTCAGTGAGCTGCAGTCAGGGGGCACGTGGCATGGCATGTGCACGGCATCACTGTTCGCAGCACACAATCAGAGCGCTGTTCCATCCAGAATCTGCTCTCCTCTCCCCCTTCCCTTTCAGCCGCGCTGCAGCAGCGAAGCAGACAGCATTCGCCTGCTGATGCCATGCATACCACATCTGCTCTTCTCCCCGCCTCGTCTTGATCCTCACCACCACAGCTGCTCCCACACCGAACACTCCTCCCTCTGGTATCCCCCGTCCCTCTCAGGCCCGGCAAAGAAGACAGCATTCGCCTGCTGCTGCCCTACATAGCATCGGTGCGCTCCCTGCCAGCCTTCCACCACTACATGCACACGGAGCACCCCTCCCAATTCTCCCTTGTCTGCTCAATCCCCCTCCCTCCCAGGCCCGGCAACGCAAGGAAGCAGACAGCATTCGCCTGCTGCTGCCCTGCATTGCTTCAGTGCGCTCCCTGCCAGCCTTCCACCACTACATGCACACGGAGCACCGAGCATACAACGTGCAGCACCAGGAAGAGTTTGGGCGGGTGAAGAGTGCAGAGGAGGCAACGTTTGATCCCATCAAGCTGTGCTATTGAAGGGGTGTGGAGGGATGTGGGTGGGTGGTACGTGGTTGAACAGAGAGGCCGCAGAGAGTCTGCCAGCCTTCCACCATTACATGCACACGGAGCACCAGAGAGGGGGGAGTTTCAGCAGGCGAAGAGTGCAGAGGAGGCAACGTTTGATCCCATCAAGCTGTGCTATTGAAGACGTTTCAGCGGTGGCTGAGTTTTTCACCCTGATGTTCCAGTGCTATGCGGTACCATGCATCGGTGCAAGAACTTGTTTGAATGCTGAGCTATCAGTGTGTTTTTGCATATGCGGAGAAGTGGCTTAGTTGCAGGTTACACTTGAGATCACAGGTTCAGATTTTCCCTGTTGTCCGAGCGAAGACTAAAGTAAACAAAAGGGAAACAACTGATGCTCCTTTTGCAAGTCATACCTCTATTGTCCATCCCATGCACCCACAATGAGGATTGATGTGTGACAGTTTGCCTGGCTCTCTCTGTGTGACAGTTTGCCTGGCTCTCTCTGGTGACAGTTTTGCCTGGCTCTCTCTGTGTGACAGTTTGCCCTGGCTCTCTCTGTGTGACAGTTTGCCTGGCTCTCTCCGTGTGACAGTTTGCCTGGCTCTCTCCGTGTGACTGTTTGCCTGGCTCTCTCCGTGTGACAGTTTGCCTGGCTCTCTCCGTGTGACTGTTTGCCTGGCTCTCTCCGTGTGACTGTTTGCCTGGCTCTCTCCGTGTGACAGTTTGCCTGGCTCTCTCCGTGTGACTGTTTGCCTGGCTCTCTCCGTGTGACTGTTTGCCTGGCTCTCTCCGTGTGACAGTTTGCCTGGCTCTCTCCGTGTGACTGTTTTGCCTGGCTCTCTCCGTGTGACTGTTTGCCTGGCTCTCTCCGTGTGACTGTTTGCCTGGCTCTCTCCGTGTGACTGTTTGCCTGGCTCTCTCCGTGTGACTGTTTGCCTGGCTCTCTCTGTATGACTGATTGCCTTTGCAGCATCTCATTTGACCAATCACCCTCTGTGACAGCTCATATTAGTAATCAATTTAGTAACTATCAATTTCAGAATTACATACCGTCTTGATGCTCCAGATATCAGTACCGTAGGGGTAATTATAATCCAGTGAAATATCTCAGTATCAAGTATCCAACCAAAGGGTCCATGTTCACTAGAAGTTCCATCTACTGATCTCAGTATCAAATATTTACTGATCTAATTGAGAACTAGATATTGATAATCTGCTATACTAAATAGTGTACTATTGTACTACCCATGCACTGTAGGTGTGCATGGGGGGTTCCTCTTGGCCGCCAGGAGCAGAGCTCCTGACGTTACACCCAAGCACCGCGGTGAGGTGGGAACCATCGCTTGGGACCCTGTTGGATGGGGGAAAGAGAGAAAAAACACAATGCATACTGCCCGGGGGCAGATGAAAATTATTCTCAAAGCAGGTGCTGCCCGTCCTTGCTGCCCAGTCGTGCTGCCTTACCAGCTGTGTAATTTTGCTCACTGCAGCTAGGCTGCTGTGAGGAACAAGAGAAATGGGTTTTGAGGCTTTGCCCAAAAACCCAGAGGTTGCTCACTGCAGCGACCTCTGCAGTGAGGAGCACACGAGTTTTGAGACGTCTCTCAAAGCTCAGGACCAACGGAGTGACGGAACAGAAACAGAACGACAAGCTGCAGTGCACTGCAGTGAACAGAACAGAACCGCCACCGGCAGTTCACAGCTGTCTTGAGGCGCCTCAAGAACAGCACACAAGCACCCCACCCCCCACCCCTCACCCCTCACCCCTCACCCCTCACCCCTCCCTCAGCCCCATACTCAATGGTGAAAGCAGGCGCTGCTGGTGACAGATGCTGCTCCCTCCCTCCGCACTCCAACCCGCCTCCATCCGCCGTGCCATACAGGAATGCAAGAGGGGGATTTACGGAAAGAAAGATTAGTTGCTGGTGAAGATGCGAGCGAAAATAAAGCGCAAAACCACAAAACCAGAATTTGAAACAAGTGACAAGGAAACGAAACGCATGTGAAAACAGAGCGGAAATGTTCCCCTCCCTGAGCCCCATACTCCCTTCTGAAAGAAGACGATGCTGGTGCTGCTGCTCCCTCTAACCCGCCTCCCTCCTCCCTCCCGTGTAGCTGCTGCTGTCGCGCCTCCCTCTCTGCAGCCGCCCCCACCAGCTCTCCACTCCGCCATGCTGCGCCCTGCCATACGGGAATGCAAAAGGGGGATCTAAGGAAAGAAAGATAAGTTGCTGGTGAAGATGCGAGCAAAAAACAAAATGCAAAACACAAAATAGAATTTGAAACATGCGACAAGGAAATGAAAAGCATGCGAAAACAGAGCAGAAATTGGTCCCCTCCCTGAGCCCCGTACTCCCTTCTGAAGAAGGCTGCTGGTGCTGCTGCTCCCTCCTCCGCACTCCAACCCGCCTCCTTCCTCCCTCCCGTGTAGCTGCTGCTGCCGCGCCTCCCGCTCTGCGGTACAGGAATGCAAGAGGGGGGAGCTAAGGGAAGAAAGATAAGTGGCTGGTGAAGAGAATGCAACAAACGAAACTGAAACTGAAACATGCGACAAGGAAATGAAAAGCTTGCGTAAACAAAGCGTAAAATGGTCCCCTCCCTGAGCCCCATACTCCCTTCTGAAAGAAGGCTGCTGGTGCTGCTGCTCCCTCCTCCTCCGCACTCCACCCGCCTCCCTCCTCCCTCCCGTGTAGCTGCTGCTGCCGCGCCTCCCGCTCTGCAGCCGCCCCCACCAGCTCTCCACTCCGCCATGCTGCTCCCTGCCATACGGGAATGCAAGAGGGGGGATCTAAAGAAAGAAAGATAAGTTGCTGGTGAAGATGCGAGCAAAAAGAAAATGCAAAAAACATAAGAGAAATCGAAACATGCGACAAGGAAAGAAACGAGTTGGTGGTGAGGGTGCAAGGGAAAAGATAATGCAAGAACACAAACGAAACACGCGACAAGGAAAAAACAAGAATACAAGAAACAAATAACTGTTCTCCTCGGCCCCACACCGCACTGCACTCCCTCGAACCCATACTCCCTTCTCATGGCAGGCGTTGCTGATGGCACCGCACTGCACTCCCTCGGACCATACTCCCTTCTCAAGGCAGGCGCTGCTGATGGCACCGCACTGCACTCCCTCGGACCCATACTCCCTTCTCATGGCAGGCGTTGCTGATGGCACCGCACTGCACTCCCTCGGACCCATACTCCCTTCTCAAGGCAGGCGTTGCTGATGGCACCGCACTGCACTCCCTCGGACTCATACTCCCTTCTCATGGCAGGCGTTGCTGATGGCACCGCACTGCACTCCCTCGGACCCATACTCCCTTCTCATGGCAGGCGTTGCTGTTGGCACCGCACTGCACTCCCTCGGACCCATACTCCCTTCTCATGGCAGGCGTTGCTGATGGCACCGCACTGCACTCCCTCGGACCCATACCCCCCTTCTCATGGCAGGCGTTGCTGATGGCACCGCACTGCACTCCCTCGGACCCATACCCCCTTCTCATGGCAGGCGTTGCTGATACTCCCTTTGAAAGGGGTATCAGCAACGAGTGCTGATCAGGAGTGCGTCAAAGGCCAAAAGAGGAGTTGACTGGGAAGTGTGAGCTGAAGTATGCTTAGGGTGAGTTGAGCAAGCGGTGGGACAAGCAGGAGGATGAGAACCAAAGAGTGGGGTTGCAGCCACCAATCTCAGAACGCATCCAACACACACTTACCGCGGCTCTGCTGGGCAAGAGGGAGAGTGAGAGGAGAGCAATGAGAGGGAGGTCCCACCCCCAATCAAAGTATCACCACTCAGACACACCTTTCTCCCAGCTTTTTACTCCCTTCCACATACGACAACATCTCCCTCCAAGTACCCCCTCCTTCAGCTTATCCGCCTCTCCTCCTCGCACCTCCACCTCACCCCAAGGGTGCAACGGAACGGAACAACGAGCTTCGCTCGCTCCATCCTTGCTCCATCCGCCTTCGCCTCGCGTGCCGCCAGCAAGCGGGTGGTCAGCAGGGCGGGTAGGAGGCACCCACATGCCAGTGCCTGCCGGCCGTGCGTCATCCCACCTCTCTCGCTCCTCTTCTTCCATCCGCCGCGCTTTGGGCCCGCCTGAGAGAGCGTCCACCCAAGAATTGCGCCCACAAGTTTCAATCCACCCACAAATTGCGCCCACAAGTTTCAATCCAACCACGAATTGCGCCCACAAGTTTCAATCCACCCACGGATTGCGCCTCGCCTCGCCTCGCCTCGCCTCGCCTCGCCTCGCCTCGCCTCGCCGCTCCTAGCCTCGCCTCACTTGGCCTTGCCTCGCCTTGCACTCACATTCAGAGGTCGTAGGAGTTTGCACTCACATTCAGAGGTCGTAGGAGTTGCACGCAGATCCAGATGAGGCGGACGCAGGAGTTGCACTCACATTTAGAGGAGAAGGACGTAGGAGTTGCACTCACATTTAGAGGAGGATGTAGGAGTTGCACTCACATTTAGAGGAGAAGGACGTAGGAGTTGCACTCACATTCAGAGGATAAGGACGTAGGAGTTGCACTCACATTCAGAGGTCGTAGGACTTGCACCCACATTCAGAGGAGGCGGACGTAGGAGTTGCGTTCGCAACAATCGTCGACAGAAACATCAGAGACAAGTCGGCACACCTGCTGCTGATGCACTCACATTCAGAGAAGGTGTTGGTGCCGCCTCTGTCAAGAGCGTCGGTGATAGATCGAGAGAGGAGTGAAGAGGCAAGAGTAAGGAAGCTCAAAGACAAACGACAAGGGCAGCGAGATAGATCGAGAGAGGGAGAGAGTGAGGAGGCAAGGGTAAGGAAGCTCAATTGGTTTTGTTGTTGCCGGCAGCTGATTGTTGACGCGCGTCCACTGCAGGCCACCGCTGCACCGCCTTCACCGCTGAGTCAGCCATGCGCCCTCGTCATCCTCCTCACTCCAGGCGCCTCCTCGCCGCGCTCCAGGCGCCTCCTCGCCTCGCTCCATCCGCTTGCATTGCAGCGTCACCGTCGCCCTCGCAAGCGGGTGGTCAGCAGGGCGGGAAGGCCGGCCCGTGCGTCATCCCACCACGCTCGCCCTCCCCTTGCATGCGCGCTGCCCTTCCAAAGAGCCAAGAGAGCACCCTAGGGAGTCGCTGCTGCCGTCCTCTGCAGGCGCCTCTGCTCCTCCCGAGTGAAGAACCCATGGTTGCTGAAAAACAGGGGGAGGGAACACCCAGACAGATGCACGAAGTCAGTAAACAGAACTGCGGAATGAAAAATAAAGCAAAACAAACACAAGGAACGAAATGCGGAATTGAAAGCGAAAAAAACGATGTGCGGAATTGAGAGCGGAGAACAACACGTGGAAACGAGGGTGGTGGGATGGATGCACGTCCATGATACGCCGGCTGCAGCTAGCAGAGGGAGGAGCTATGCTACCCAAAACCCAAACTCTTGCTACCCAACCCAAAATCTATGCTACCCAAAACCCGCGGAGGACATCTACTAGGCTGCAGCCGAACGTATCAGAGGGACGTGCATAAACGCGAAATGCAGGACGATGGAGTGAAGAACGAGGTGCGGAAAACACGGAATGACGAAACGAAACGAATGGAGGGTGACGAGAAGGGAAGGCGAGGAGAAAGACACTTCCCATTTGCTTTGCTGGCCACGAGATGCCAGTGTTGCCTTGCTGCTCCACGAGCGGGTGGTCAGCAGGGCGGGTAGAGGCAGCCACACGCCAGTGGCTGCCGGCCGTGCGTCATCCCCACCGCGCCCGTCCACCTCAGCAGTGCCAGGATCAGCCAGCAGCACTCCAGCAGCGCCAGGATCAGCCAGCAGACACGTTCTGTTTCGCCATTCACCACGTCAGCGCCGCGCGGACGGACGCGCGCGGTACGTCGCATGGCGCTCGTCGGATATCGTCGCATGCGGCATGGCGTCAGCATCCGCGCAACATCGCACGCCAATCGTCGCACGCTGTAAATCGCCATCTTCCGCACACCGTCGCACGCGGGTCTTCCGCACACGATCGCACACGGGACATCGCCAGCATCTGCGCCCAGTCGCATGCAGTATGCGCCAGCATCCGCACAACGTCGCACGCGGAAGGTCGCACGCAGTTTGTCGCCGACTTCCGCACACGTAGCACGCGGTACGTCGCCATCATCCGCACACAGTCGCGCGTGGTAAATCGTACGGCCTCGCAGTCGCCATCTTCCGCACACGGACGCGCGCGGTACGTCGCATGTCGTTCGTCGCACATCGTCGCATGCATCCTCACAGAGCGCCGGTACGCGGAACTTCGCACGCGGTAAGTCGCCATCATCCGCACACCGTTGCACGGCGGGGAACGTCGCAAGCGGTACGTCGCATGCCGTTTGTCGCACATCGTCGCGTCATGTCGCCCAGCATCCGCACGGCGCCGCATGCGGAACGTCGCACGCGTTAAGTCGCCATCTTCCGCACACCGTATGCGGTTGGCCGCCGTCTTCCGCACACGGTCAATCGCGTGAAGTCGAAATTGTCCACACACCGTCGCACAGGGAACGTCGCACGCGGTTCGTCGCCATCTTCCGCACATCGTCGCATGCAGTATTTCGCCAGCATCCGCACAACGTCGCACGCGGAAGGTCGCACGCAGTGGGTCGCCGCCTTCCGCATGGTTGCGCGTAATTCGTAACTCGCCACTTGCCGCTACACGATCGCCGCACGTTTCCAGCCGCTCACTGTCGTCGCTAACCGTTCGCCGTTCGACATTGGCTAGTCGTTTGCCGCACGGTGCTGCTTCACGTATCATAATGCCTTGACTTCACGTTCGGCTTTAGGCGATCATAGTAGCAGCCATCGGCGAGTAGTTGGATGTACGACTATATCGGAACGACGCTTCAACGAAACGGAAGCGACATACGCTTCAACTAGAGCGGTGGAAAACCTTATCAGGAAAGACCCGCCAGGAATCATGTTGATACGGTAGCTGAAAACTATCGGTTAATCATCAGTTTACAAGAATCTAGATACTGAAAACTCAACGTGGTAGTGCTCGCTGAAAACTAATGGTGGAATTGCCTTAGCGGTTACGAATATTAACTACCGCGGTTATAAGCTAAGAGGCAAGCAGTTAACATCAGCCTATCAGAAAGCTGTATAATGACACGAGTCTACCAGTTCTCCCACTGGAACAGGCTTATCTAGATAAGCTACTACTGTCATGAATACTTTAAGAGTACGATCTAATCGTAGTAAGCTACATCTCTGAGAGATTTCGACAGCAGCCATGGCGAGCTGATAAACCTATGGAAGCAAGCACGAGCTAACGCTGAGTAGAGAGAATAAGTGACGTGAATGAAGAAACTGGAGAATTCGGCAGAGGTGACTGGAATGGCCTTGGGAATGTCGCCGGGTTGACTTGGTCTCTGGGAGGCTGCATGCACTTGCTGGAGGGAGGCGACGACAGGCGAGAGGGAGTCGCCAAATCAGAGGCTTCCGCTGGTCTCCGCCCGCCGCACAGGTCACGGCAAAGGTCACGGCAAAGCTTTCGCGAGCAAATGACAAAAACGTAACTGAGGCTATCGGGGTCAGACGACTATCGCCACCGGGATGGGAGTCCAAAGTAGCCGCTAAACTGCGCTGGGCCCGACGAAGCGCGGCTTTTTGAAAATTGCAGCAGGTGTGCCAGAAAAGGTTCCGCCGTAATACGGAATCTCCGCAAGGGATCATCTCCGCAAGTTATCCATCTACAGCACTGTATTATCATGCACAGCCATCTACAGTGTAGACTCCTTTCAGCAAAATAAATATATATTTTTTCACATGGGACTGTAACAAGATTGTAACAATATATCTGCGTTTGTAGCAAGAGATTTGCATCTTATCAGCGATCGCAGCAAAAGAGTAGCATCGCAAGGGAGCAAGACGCGCCCTACCTTGATGCGACCACTCTCATCATTTGTTGGACTGAATATTCATGAGCTCCACATTTCACAGCCACCTATCCGGCCAGGCACAACCAGGCCAAACATTCGTGTAGCAGTTCACATATTTGTCAACCGCTGTATCATCCTGCACCGTGCACCCTGCACCCTGCACCCTGCACCCTGTCCCCTGCACCCTGCCCCCTGCCTTCTGCCCCCTGCACTCTGCACCCAGCACCCTGCCCTCAGCACAGCACCGCACATCCCATGAGTGGCACAAGGTGTGCCTCCCAGCACCACAGCCTGCAATGCAGCCACCATCATCACCATTACCATCACCACCACCACAATCACCACCAACGCAGGAACTGCTTTCTTGAGTGCCCCTGGCAGCACATGAGGAGCGTGCACAATCTCCACCTCAACGCACCCCTCTGTGACCACCTCCGGCAGATGGGAACTCGTATTCACGGTCAGAGCCAGGGCCAGCAGGGCAGGGAGCAGAGCAGCGAGGAGAGCGAGTGCAGGTGGCGCGAGCGGTACGCGCGGTACAGCATGAGCGGCGTGCGCTGGGGGGGCAGCGGGGGGCGGCGCGCGTTGCCAGCGCTGCGAGGTGGGATC